TTATCTCGGAAAAAAATTATTCTGATTGGTGTTTTAATAGCTTCTCAGCGAGTACAACTTGCTAGGAAGAAACCTTTTTTTGGCCAACTTTAGAGCAAAGGTTCATTATATTGATTTTTAGACATTTTAGGGAAGAGGGCATAGGAAAACTCAACAGATCTCCTCAATTCCAAAAAAAAATTTTCGACTAAAACTTATGTAATACATATATTGTTAATATTATTAATTAACTGTTAATTTATACTAATTGGAGTATTATAATTATAGAGATGAATATGGTGTAAGCTTCTTTAAAAGTAAAGTTTTAAATAAATAAAAAAAAACTGTCAATGGTGAACAAATCCTGAACTTAATAGAAATATATAATTGATATTTAATTGATTATTAATATATATTTTGAAATATACTCATTTGCAAATATATATATATATATATATATATATATTTTTTTTTTTTTTTTCCGGTGGAGAAGGCCTACGCCTATGTTGGTGGTATCATATACAATAAGTAATTTATCTTACTGAATCGAATGAATGAATAGAATTAGTTATCATAATAAAATATTTATAAATAAAAATATTGCATTTATCTATTAAATAAATTTATATTTTTGTTGATCTGCCTATACTATTCCTAAATATATTTTAGATCCTTGATGCTTTCCAGTTGTTCGAATTGATAAAATAAAATAAACTTCATAATTCATTGAATTGGTTTCCTTAGAACTGTTAACATCCTACAACTGAATAGCGATGTGATCGAACATTAATATTGAATGTTCTCACGTTTAACATAGAATAAGCATGCATTATAGACATGTTGATGTGGGAACTTAGGCAACATACACCTGATACTTGTAACGAAGGAGAAGGACTATCTAAACATGGCGGGGTCATCTTCTGTCAAAGGCATTAAATGTTAATGAAGAAGGGATCCTGAGACATCCTCTTTTTTCTGAGACAAGGAAAATATTAGTTTTTTACTAGGAAAAAAAACTAAAATGTATATTTTTTATATAATTAAAAAAAGTATATCATTTATTCTTAGTCCTGTTTTTAGTTCTGAATTTTTTTATTAATATTTTTTTTTAAATATTACTGTCTGTCTCAAAAGACATTTATATTAGTGATCATAGAGCACATTCACACTTTGTGTACAATGAATAAACATAAATTAAGTAGAAAAGATATGTAACTAACCAGAATAATAACTATATTACAAAGATACTTTTAGAATAGAATAGAATATAAAATTGTGGGACGAGGTTTCTTAAGAATAACAATTATGAACAAAAAAGAAAAACCACATCTGGCCAAAAATTACATAAATCAAAATTAAAGAATATATACAATATCTTCAGTGAAAGTATATTAAAACAAGTAAAATCATTTAAAAAAAAAACACATTATTGAAATGAAAAGAAAAACAGAAATCAGGAGAAATAAATAATAAAATGTTATAAGCACTATGGGTTGATTCTTAAAATTATAATTCATAATATTTCATTGTACAACGCCATTTTGGGATGTGAAAAGGAATTGGTAGAGATAATATTTGAATGAGGACAAGGAAGAGCATGGCGGATATCAGATGGCAAGGAATTCCAGAAGGCAGTGGATCGGCCAATAAAGGAATATTCAAATGTCTTAGTTCTATAGGAAGGGATATAAAGGTCAGAAACACAGGATCTTGTTTTCTGGGAGTGGACCACGGATTTAAACTGTAGAAGACTGTAGATATAGGAAGGTTATAGGGTGTTGATCGTTTGGAATAAGAAAGATCCAAGGAAATATTGTCGGCGGGAAACATCTTAAATTAATTAATTAATTTTACGACATTGATAAAATTCATTCACTCAGATAAAATCAGAGCAAAACCTCCTCCCTCGCCCACTCGTGGAAGGAAAGGCAGGACTCCAGGAGATCCCAGCGCCTCTCACACAGCCGCATTTTATGCTTATTTTCAAAACGTCCACTACCACTTCAACCTTCGAGGAGAATTGTAAGGTAGATTCAAAGGATCAACGTTTGAAGGACTTTGGAATGAAAGGACTGAATACGTATGATGTTAAAAAATGTTGCTGTCCAACACAGTTCTAGTCCGTACAGTATTGTCTTATAAATCAGTCATTTATTATCGATAGAGACTAGAGATTTTCTATTCATTAGTCTTATTGCTAGCCATATCGTCCATTAAGTTCTTCTCTTTTAAGTCTAGTATGTGGGTTCCTTGTTAGTGTTCGGTCTAACAGAAACCCAAGATACCAAAACTGTCTCTGATTAACTGGATGGAATTAAAATGTAAAGGTGGACAGGAATTGCTTCGGAGCGCAAATGTAATATGTTTGCATTTTGATTCATTAACTTCTTTAATAGGCCATGTATTATACTTACAAATTATTTTATTAAGTACATTTTTTTTTATTTTATCTATTTATTTTTACTATTAATTTAGTTAATTAATTTTTGTGCTGTTCATCATCTCCCTCGACATAAAATTAGTAGAAATCAACTATGGTTACATGATATTCAAATTATTTTTTTTTTTTTTTAGTGGTTCGTGTTATTTAATGTCATATTTACTGTGGATCTACCGTGAAATAAAGAGACAGTAATTGGGTATATCCAGCCCTCATAAATTGGGTACAATTAATAACAAGAAAAACTATCGGTTGAGGGTGGTCTTGGTGAAATCACCTCCAAGCACAACCTTCGGACAGATTAAAAAAAAAAAAATCTCTTAAAAAGATATTTGTGTAATAGTTTGTCACAAATTTATATCTTGATACTTAAAATATTTAGCAGTAATATTTTGATAATATTCTTTTCTAGGAGCTTTTTATTTTATATTTATTAATTTGTTCACTTTTTTTTTTTAAGTAACACAATTTTGTATTATTATATTTTAGGTATGCTTGTTTTTTTCTTTTACATATACTAATCAGATGTTTAATATAACCTTTCTCTACTCTGTTAATGAAACCTTCTGTTTCCTTCAGTATGTATTAGGATGGGATGGCGAGATGTCAATAGTAAATGCGTTTTCTTTTTTTTTTTTCTCGTTTTTTCTTTCGTCACTGTTTCTTTTCTTTCTGGATATATGTGATCTTGTTTCTCTGTCCTTATGATGCTTGAATTGGCGAAACATTGGCAGCTTAACTGTTCATCTTTAGGTTAGAGATTCGTAGTTTTATAATGTTTTTTTTTTCATTTATAACGTAGTACAATAAAATAAATTTAAGTTTAATTTTAATTTTTATAAAACGGTTAAAAAAGCTTTTTATGAATTTTTTTTTAAGGATACAGGAAGAAAGTAAGCATTCATTCCTTGAAAGAAAAGTTCGGTTTCGGCAAAAACTTATTTTCATACCATTTTTTTAATATTTAGATTTCTTTTAGAAAAAAAAATCATCGAGTTCATTGCGTGTTTTACATGAGAATCGATACTTATTTAGATTTATACAAAAATTTGTTAGGTTCACTTTTGAAATTAGTGACTCATATAGTACATGCAAATGAAAATTTTTAAAACAATCTGTTGTTATTTTTACACCTGTACTTTTAGTTGTTTTCTATTAATTCAATAGTTTTAAATTGCAAACTATTTAAACTATCTAGTCTTTTTCAATTCAATGATACATGAAACCTTCAAGCTCATTTGGTCTCACCCCAACTTCTAATTGTCTTGAGTCCGATCCTTATTAAAGTGACCTTGATGATGAATATGGAGAATCTCTTTCAATGGTCTTGTATCATTGGAATTTAAGGCCGGAATTTTCGATAACTAAGCACATAAGAATCTTTTAAAGGAAGTGGTTCATATATTATCAATATAATATTATCATTTAAATATTTAGGTAGTGTGTATAAGTAATGAATAGTTAAAAATTTCATACTTCATCCCAGAAGAATTCTTCAAATTTCAAAAGAATTCCTTTCGTATCATCCTATTCCTCCTACACACTCCCTCTTTTCTAGCACCAGCCATCCCCATAATCCTTCAAGAAGGTTATGACAGTAGTGGCCCCGAGACCTTTTTTAATTTGTATATACTACAGTTCTGGCAATGATCAGATTTTGTGTATGTGGCTAAAGCGCTCTCGCTCAACCTTTACTGGCTTTAGCACCAGTGACATGGTTGAGAGAGTACCGTAGGGATCTTCAGTTCTGCTTTTGCCTCTTCAATTGGGGAGACAAGCCTTGCTTGGAGTGTCTTGATTGTAAATAGTGTATATAGGTATGTCAGTGTGTATTTTTTTTTTAAATTTATTTATCTTTAAGTTATTTTTTTTATTTATTTTGTATACGTATTGATTAATATTTTGTTGTTATTTTGCTTATGTTTATATCAGATTGTCTGTATAAATAGTGTGGGTGTAGTCTAATCTCACTATAATTATTGTCCATGTGACAGAATTCAATGTTATTGAATAAATAAATAATAGAAAACTACAATAATATTGCCCGTAATGTTGCCCAAAATCGGTCTTGGTCTTGCACATTACAAGACCAAGACCAATGCCGTCTATCTGTTGCAAGTCCAAGACCTGGACTGGTAAAAAAAAAATCGATTTTTAAATAAAAATTACGACAAAATAGTTACTAATCCTTGATAATCTTAGTTACTATATGTCAATTATTGGTATAACCAATACACTTTTGCATTTAACTCCTCTAATTTTTCGTGCATTCTTAGTTAGGTTTCTCCTACCGAAAAAAATACAGCAATATCTCTATAATATTAAGATAATAAGTAACTGCAAGACTGTTGCGCAAGACCAAGACTCGTCTCGCTCTAGCATTTGGGCAACATTTATTACCCGTCTGCTCAACTGTGTTGAGTTCCTAGACCACACGGCATACTCATCAACTAATAGATAATATTAAAAAATAATAAAGATATTTAATTATTTTTTTACTGTAAACCATTATTTTTCCTTGTAATTTAAAAATGTCTTTTATACCATTATCAACTTCTTTCTTTAACCATTCTCAATGGCTTTAACGATTATTGACCAGATGAAAATTAAGTAAACTCAGGATAAAGGACGTACTATCTCCAGGACATCTTGCCACAGACCCGATGCCCGAAGATCCTCCGATAAGGATACGAGAGGACCCAGACACTGGGAAGGGGAAGTACTCCGGTTTTTGCTCCTCCCTGAACCCCTGTTTACCAAACACCGGCACATCTTGCTGTCTAGCCGAATCCCAGCAAAAAACTAACCTTTAACTGTTAACTGTTTCTTCTAAACGATTATTAGCCTAAATTAAGGAAGCTCCCAGCATGTGTCAGTCTGAAATAGGAAATAATAGAAAAATTATACTAAATAAGTAATTATTAGAATTCCTTATCAATTTTTTTATTGAGTAATATTACGTTTTGTCATGATAAAGGACATTACTAATAGAGTTAGAGTAGCTCATTTACAGGCTAAGTACAATAAATAAAAAAATAAATTAAATTAAACTACAACAGAATAATAATACTAAAAATAAATAAATATATGTTGAAAAAGATACTTAAACTAATAAAAATAACAACTTAGATACAGACATACGTACATACAATATTTATCAGCATTCATTCAGCAGAACACTGAGCCGAGCTTTTCAAGAGCAGCTGAACCAAGAATGTCAGGCCGTTAAGTCACATCTAATTCGTTATTTAGAGAGATTATTCGTGAATTAGGACTAAACGTGACTTGACGTGCTCATGTCCTTGATGTAAGGGGTCTCATAAAATTAAAAGCACTTAATAAATAAGTTTCCACGCGTCAGACACGTGTCTTTTGTCTTGCAGTTTTTGTAGAACAATGACACGTGGAATGAACTTTTTTAACTAACTAAGCATTGTCTAGAGTGGATGGATAGGGCTGGTCATTACAGAAGGGTTGTGAAGCTAGAGCCCATCTACCCTCCTTCGGACGACATCCCTACAAACAATAAGACCCTCTCAGGGTTTTATTATTTTCGAGTAATTTTTATCAGCCGGTGTCTACTGTGGGAGATTGCTCTATAGGTTTAACTCAAGTCAGTCATAACTTCATAAGATTTTGATATTTTATTTTAATTACAAGAACCGCTATGTAAAAAAAAAAAAAATAACTGGATGAAGAAACGATTACTACAGTACCAAAAATTCCAAAAATGTACCTTTTTATTGTTTAATAATAAGGTACATACAAAATAGCATTATTGATATTATATAATGTATTATATAGCTGTCCTTGGTAGTAATCAAGAAAATAATCAGAAACTCGCTAAGGCTCTGATAAGAAAAGCAGTACAAATCGGCCGACAAGTAAATGTAGACAAAAAAATAAATAAAAAGGGTGTTTCAGGGTTAAGTGGCCAAACTTCAAAAATGAACTAAGGACCTCAAAATAAGAAAAGAATTTCCTCTGAAGGGACGTCCGCAAACGTTTTGTTTAGGAGATATTCACACCTAAAGATTTTCTTTGTAAAAAATTATTTACGATATATGAAATAAATAAAACCTATTTATTTGTTCTAACTACTTTTATTAATTAAATGTAAATATTAATATTCATATTAAATGTTGTTCAAAGTGATTTTCTTGACCATTAAGACAGGCTCGGCATCTTTCTTCAACAGTATTCAACGGCAGAACGGCACTGGATATGTGTTATTGTATCACAAGATTCAATTATCCTTCTTCGTAAGAAATTGAGGGCTTGTGTAGACTTTATGTTTAATGTCACCCCAACAAAAAAGTCCAGTGGTGTCAGGGCTGGATAGCGTGCAGGCCAATCCGTACATATTTGGATATGGAATATCGAATATGATTGAGCAAGTAATGATCTTAATTCCTAACGAAGAAGGATAATTTAATCTTGTGAAACAATTACACCTATCCAGTGCCGTTCTGTCACTGCTGCTGTTGAAGAAAGATGCCGAGCCTGTCTTAATGCTCAAGAAAATCACTTTGAACAAGAGAGAAACACTTTATTTTCATAAAAATATAAAATATAAATATAAATGTTAATAATGTTAATGTTTAATAAATATAAATATAAATGTTAATGTTTACATTTAATTGTTTGTTTGTTTCGATGTCCAGGTCATCAGCGCCCGATCAACTAAATAACACTACTTTTATACTATTGAATGGTTGGTCCAAAAAATAAGAATAAAAAAAGGATAAAAATAATTTTAAAAAAAATTGATGGAATGAAATAAATAAATAAAAATAACATAATTAAATAACTAAATAAATAAACAAATAACATAATTAAATAAAAGGATTGATAGAATGAAATAAATAAATAAAAATAATAATAGACACTTATATATAATAAGATATAATAGATAAATAAATAAAATTAAAAAAAATTGAAATAAAATCAATAAGTTGAAATTAATAACCAAATGTACTTTTAAAATAATAATACATTTAATTAATAAAAAGTAGAAAAAATAAGTAGGTGCTATTTATTTCATATAACGTAAATAATTCATAAAAACGAAAATCTTTAGGTGTGAATATCTCCTAAACAAAGCGTTTGCGGACATACCTTCAGAGGAATTAGTTCATTTTTGCAGTTTGGCTATTTAACCCTGAAACACTCTTAGCCCTGGAGCCAGGGCCCAAAAATCGACCTGATCGCAGGCGAAGGTTTGATTGTAAATTACGTAAGTGTATGGTATTCTGAGTAAAAAGAACCTTGTCTGTCGTTCCAGAGCCGCCGCTTTCAAAAATGGCGGCTGATTTAAACAATATTAGGTCTGTAATTTGAGGATCGAAACGGGAAATCCATTGTGAAAAATGTGGGAAAAGTTTTTATTTTTTTTACTTGTGTATATGGGTTCAGACATGTAATAAACAAAATTGCTAACGCGGGCCACCAAGTGAAAACTTTTTACAGCCAAAAAAGTCAGATTTTTTCGATATGTTTTGGGTGTTTCATCTACAACTCCTAAACGATGCATCAAAGCGAAAAATGTGTTCTTTAATAAATTAAAGAACGTTACATTTTGCGTCTAACGAGTACATAAACTGTATAGTTTGGTTAACTATTAAGGTATAAAATCACGGTCAACCAACGCTGATTTTTACCAAATTTGTCAAAAACTTACAAAAATTACTATAAATGGCTCTGTAACTTGGAAATGAGTTCCCTAAGAGGAAAAACCCATAAAATCAAAGTTATAGAGCAACAAATAGGAGTTATAGATGAAAAACCCAAAAAATATGGGAAAAATCTTACTTTTTTGGCTGTAAAAAGTTTTCCCTTGGTGGCCCGCGTTAGCAATTTTGTTTATTACATGTCTGAACCCATGTATACAAGTTAAAAAAAGTAAAAACTTTTCCCACATTTTTCACAATGGATTTCCCGTTTCGATCCTCAAATTACAGACCTAATATTCTTTAAATCAGCCGCCATTTTTGAAAGCGGCGGCTCTGGAACGGCAGACAAAGTTCTTTTTACTCAGAATAACATACACTTTCGTAATTTACAACCAAACCTTCGCCTGCGATCAGGTCGATTTTTGGGCCCTGGCTCCAGGGCTAAGAGTGTTTCAGGGTTAAATAGCCAAACTGCAAAAATGAACTAATTCCTCTGAAGGTATGGTAGCCCTGGCTCCAGGGCTATCTGTATATGACTACAGATACTCTAATAAGTTGGAAATCTCCTTCTCCTCAAATACAGAAAAGTTCTATATTTTTCTTTCTGAGCAATTACTATTTAAATAAAGAAAAAAGATAATGTCCAAAATTAAACTTCGAATCGGCTATTGTGTTCGCGTATATCATCGGCACCATGTTAAAGTGACGAATCTTTAACTGTCCAACGTTACACGATGTTACTTTTATGTTAATTAATCCGATTAATGTTAATTAACTAATATAGTCATCATCATCAACACCTTGCCGGTCCTCCAGAGCGGACACCCCACCAAGCTAAATGTTGCCTCTGGACCTCTAGTCTTCAGGTAATGGGAGGTAGAGTCCCATTTACATACCCGGACAGCGGAGCTGGACAGAGGATTACCTCACTGTGGGAAAGTCCGCTATTACCATAGTCCACAATGGGACCCCTCTCTGTCTTACCGGGAGGGGACGGCCGTCCGACAGCCGGATCTAACGGGGATTTAGTCACTTCTTTTGACCGATCTTCTCTGCCAGCATTCCAACGAATTCAATAAGGACAGGATAAATCAGATAAATCAATTTTTAAAATTATTATGTAAAATTGAAAAAAAAAATTGCATTTCATTATTTCATATTCTTTTCCTAAAATTTCAGTTAGAAAACGACATTTATTTGCACCTGTCAACTTCATATTTACAATCAGCAAATGTGCTGAAAAAATCACACTCTTTCCTGTCTAGTTTCAATTACTTGAGTTATTTAAGGAAGGAGATCTCTCATCCAACGCCTTTTTAGTCTCCTCTTCATATAAATTTAGAAGAATTGTTTCTGCAACAAACTTTTCGGATGCTCAGTGGAGACGAAGTGTACGCAAAAAAAAAAAAAATTTAAAAACAGAATCAAGAGTCATATATATAACTATCTAACAGGAGCGACGCTATTTAATGTTGAATTTGGAAAATAGCTAAATCCATAAAAAAAATAAATAATAATAATAAAGTTATTAAAAAAAAAAAAAAAATTGGAGGCGGAATGGACTACGAAGTCGGAACCTATGGGTTTAAAAACATGTTAATTAACCTCATAGCCTATCGAATCTTCTTACTTGGTTAAAATCGATTTTCCCTAATCCTCCGAATAGAGTTATACAATTCCTTATTAAACCTTAAAAAAAAAACAATATAATATATACATAAAACGTGGAAACCAACTGAATAAAAATAAAACTGGCTATTATTAATACTAATGACGAATTTATTTATTTCTATTGACTTAAATAACAGTTAAAGGAAATGAAAATTATGAACCAGAAATTAGATTTATAAGAAAATACAATTGACTTTAATTATCAAAGAAAATAATATACAATTATTATAGAACTAAACATTAACTTAGACTATACCATAAACCAATTACAAATATTTGAAAACAAAAAAACATAGAAAAGGTAGAAAAGTAACAATTTCATCTAGTAAATTTAATTTACGATTATAAATAATATAGAAAACCACGCTACAAAAGCCTGTATGTACCATTTTATTAGAGAATGCAGTATAGTAGTATAGGTATGAAAGTGAAAAGATGATACAAAAATTATATCATAAAAAACAAAATAATTAATTTATATACGATTCTTCTCCAACTGGATAGATAGGAAATGATTAAATAGGCGAGATTTAAATATGGTAGGGCATTGGAGCGACGGATGTGATATAAGTATCAACTTATATCTCAACTCTTTTCTTTTATTATTTACAATTTTTTTTTTTTTTGCTATTTGTTCAACATATTTACAACAATATTACAATATAAATAAATCAAGTAAATGTGTACACAAGAATATAATCACTTGAAAACGCTTGTTGAGAAACTACCCACAGGTAGCACTCAAATAATATGCCTACATAAGAAGATCACGAGGCCATCTTCTTTTCAGACGCCTCAGAGGGTTATCAGAATCGAAGAGAAGCAAGGTTAAAACAAGAGGATTCGGATGGTTATGAAGTTTATTATGGAAGGATAGGTATCTGGATTGGGCCAAATCGGAAACATATGGAACAATACGATCATTATGGATTATTTTATTTGTGACAAAGTAGGGAGCATTGAGGATTTTACTAAGGATTTTGGATTATGAGGATTGGATACGAGAGGAATTGGAAGGTTTAGTGGAGCCCCAAAGCTCAACTCCGTAAGTCCAAATAGATCTTAGTATAGTAATGTATATTAGTCTTTTGTAATTAATTGAAAGTTTAGAGCGTTTGTCTAGTAAGTGGTGGAGTAAGCGGAAACGTCGAGCAGTCTGTTGTCGTTTCATGAGGATTCCAAGTGAGACGTTTGTCCAAGTGGAGTCCTAGATATCATATTTGTTCAACAGAGATAAGTGGGGTGTTATTAAAGGATACTGTAGGACAGCAAGTCATAGGTTTACAACATAATATGTCTAATAGTTAAAATATGAATTTGTGTGGCTTTGCGGCGTGAAGGGAAACGTGTAATAGGCGGTTTTATCTTTTAGCGCTAACTACAAGAGTTGCCCTCGGGCCAATATGATATGATCCTGCCCCAGGACAATGGACACCGAGGATGGTGCCTTCCGTTGCAGGACACTTATATTAGTAGGGCCCCCAAATTACTGGTTCTCATAGCCCGGGAGCCACCCCACAGCAAGCTCATTGTGATCCAGGGTCAGGTGTTGAGTCTGTCTGTCCGGTCTAAGGAACTGTTACCTGCTGGCTGCAGGGAGCAACATGTCAGAAGTATAACTTTTTTATACTTATGTCATTGAGTAGTGTTTATAAACACTACGCTGATAAAAATCATAGCAAGAAACTTTCTCATATATCTAAGTATGACAATATTTCTTATGATTACCAAATTATTGAGATTTATTTATGATATTTACAACTGTATTAAGAAAGAATACATTAAGTAAATGTAATAACAGAAATTAAAAACATGAAAACACTTGTTGAGAAACGACCCACTGGTAGCACTCTAAAAAAAGGCTATCTTCTTTTCAGACGCCTTGGAGGGTTATCAGGGATCGAGGAGGAAGCAAGGTTAGAAACGAGAGGATTCGGATGGTTCTGAAATTTATTATTGAAGGATAGGTATCTGGATTGGGCCAAATCGGAAATATAAGGAACATTAAGGTCTTTATGCATGATTTTATTAGTGAAAAATTAATGAGCATTGAGGATTTTACAAAGGATTTTGGATTGACAACTCCGTATGTCCAGATAGGTCTTATTGTAGTCATGTATATGAATCTTTTGTAATTAACTGGAAGCTTAGAGCGTTTGTCTAGTAGTAAGTGCTGGAGTAGTCGGAAACGTCGAGCGATTTCTTGTCGTTTTAGTCTGGTATGAGGATTCCAAGTTAGACGTTTGTCCAAGTGTAGTCCAAGGTTATTGAGATATTAAATTATGTTTGAGGTATCATATTCATACAGCGTATGTAGTAGAGAGAATTCCACCAATTTAAACTCCTCCAAGATCAATGGTACGTCCCCTCTTTCCAAAGAAATTATATTGCTCTCTTCTTAAATAAGTGAAATTAAAATCATAACCAGAAAAATTGTCCTCCTGATGAAAGTTCCTTTCCTAGTTAGAACACCACACTAATATTATTTCCCCAGAAAAGTCAATATCCCGCAAAAATGTCCACTCGCATCCCAAAAATATTTGATTAGTCAACTTGTGTTATGAAAAAAACCTTCTGGGTATTTTGGATCAAATCTGACGAGTCGTTTTTGAAATATAGGTCTGTCTTTGATTAACTACTTAATATCATGGATAATGGACGATTATTATTATTATTATTATTATTATAATTATTATTACAATTCCTTTATAATTTTAACGAACTTGGATTAACGTTAGTTTGTTTTAGGCCCGTCACATTGATTACATTCGACTACTAGCAGAATCAGAGGGGACGGGGTTGTCGAGCGGGCTAATGAGTGTATCAAAATACGCAACCAGATGATTGAGAAGTTTATTAGATACAAAATAATTATGTTTTCGTGTCCCCGTGCCGAGAGTACTTTTAACTCAGGCATTAATCCGCCGCCCTCTCCCTCTGGCACAGAAAAACCTTCGTATAGCCTTAAAGACGAGGTAGAAGTGGACAGAAAAAAAAATAGACCAAAAAAAAATAGGCAGAAACAGAACTAAATTTATTTCATGTATATTCTAATACGTAAAATTATTTTCAGTATTTTATGTTGGTAACATAGCATTTCTAAAGTACATAAATCTATAAATTTAAAATATATTTCTAAAACCTTAATAACATTATTTATTGTAGGATTATAGTAATAAGTAACGTAGACACCTTCAGGTTCAAACACTTGACGAGTTTTAATAATCACATATAAACGTGTCCGACACGTGTCTATTGTCTTACAGTGTTTGTAGAACAATGACACGTTGAATGAACTTTTTTTTACTAACTAACCATTGTCTAGTGTGGATGGTTAGGTCATTAAAGAAGGGTTGTGAAGCAAGAGCCCATCTACCCTCCTTTCCTACAAATAATATAACCCTCAGAGGTTTGTTATTTTGTCCGAGTAACTTTTATCAGTCTGTCACTACTGTGGAGTTTTCTTTATAGGTTTGAGAGTCTTTAAGAAATAAATATTTATTTTACTTACACGGATAACTGTAATATGGATATATAAAAAAATAAAACTTTTTAAATATACTTTATGTATTTAAAGCGTAATAAAGCAAAAAAAAACTCGTCTTCTTTAGGAATTACATTTGCTACTATTTAAGGTTGCGCTCAGACCAAGGATATTTATTTATTTATACACTTATTTAGAAACATTATTCGTGATTAAGACTAGACGTGATTTTACGGGTTGATGCCTTTGGTATCAGTGATCCCATAAAGCTATTAATAATCCCATATACACGTGTCTATTGTTTTGAAGTTTTTGTAGAACAATGACACGTGGATGATGAACTTTTTTTCACTAATTTGGTATTGTCTAGTCTGGATGGTCAGGGCTGGTCGTTACAGATGGTTAGTGAAGCAAGAGCCCATCTACCCTCCTTCCCTACAAACAATGAGACCCTCTGAGGGTATTATTTTGCTCGAGTAATTTTTATCAGCAGGTTACTACTGTGGGAGATTTTCCTATAGGTTTAAGTCTGTAAGAAATCAATGTATTATTTTACATACAATTAGACGAATGTCTGTAAAATGAATACATAAAAATAAAAGTTCTTAAGTATATTTTCGGAGGAAACTTCGTCTTCTTTAGGAGTTACATATACTTCTATTTAAGTTCACGCTCAGAACAAAGGATCATGTCTAATCCGTTATTTAGAGAAATTATTCGTGATTAGAAGTGACTTGACGGGCTAATTCTACGGTATGAGGTATCCCATAAAATTAGAAGCTACTAATAACAAGAGATATGCACGTGTCTGACACGTGTCTTTTGTCTAGCAATTTTTATAGAACAATGACACGTGAAAGATTAACTTTTTTTTAACTAACTAACCATTGTCTAATGTGGATGGTAAGCGCTGGTCATTACAGAAGGGTTGAGATACAAGCCCATCTACCCTCCTTTCCTACAGACAATGAGACCCTCTGAGAGTATTATTTTGCTCGAGTAATTTTTATCAGTCGTTGTTTACCGTGGGAGAGTATTCTGGTCTGGAGTGGGATATAAGTACAAGACGGCACAGGCGGATCTACGGGGGGAGGGCTTTCGGGCTGAAGTCCCCCCCCCAAAATGTAAAAATATAACCATGTTTTATGGGATATTTTTTTTTTTTAAATACCTCTTAAAGTACTATTGTTCGTGTAATTACATTTAAAATCACTTAAGGAATCACTTAAACACCATTTCATATAGGTAGTTAGTTTCTTTCTGTTTTTCCAAAGTAATTATCGTTATTTTTATGAAAAGGTTTTGGGCTGAAGCCCCCCAAAATTAAATTCTGGATCCGATAGTGCAAGACGGTATTGATAAACCGAACATGTAAGATTGCAAGGCAGAAATTAAATTTAAAATGAAGGAAAAATTGTACAAGATAACGAAAATATATGTATTATTGGTTAAATATAAACATATTTCAAACTGAGAAATGATTTCTGAAAATTATCATATACTGTAACTGTAAACAACATGTAACTGTAAACAACATTTAATATGAATGTTAATCTTTACATTTAATTAATAAAGTAGCTAGAACAAATAAATAAGTTTTATTTATTTCAGATAACGTAAATAATTCATAATAACTAAAATCTTTAGGTGTGAATATCTCATAAACAAAGCGTTTGGGGACATACCGTCTGAGGGAATTTTTTTTCTTGTTTTGAGATCCTTAGTTCATGTTTTCAATTTGGCCACTTGAACCAGAAAAACTCTGTATATGACTGCAGATACTCTAATTTAAGAAAACTTTCTTATTTAATAAAGGTTTTATTCCAAATTAATTGTGTTGAGGTTTAATACTGAATAAGTTGAGATTCAACACTAGTTCTGTTATAATATTTTTTTCTATGGCTTGTGGTTTTATATGGCGTGTAAATTATATTGTGATAAATTAATTATAAAAATATACAAATTATTTTATTAATAGATTTAATTTATTCATTTCAAGTAATCATTTGCATGTCTTATGCTATTAGCCGATGAGATGGAAACTGGTTTCTGCAAGAGAGTCACCTCGCGTGATAGGTCATTACGACAATTAAGATAAGATTAAATTTGTTATTGCTTGTATTATTTAATGTATTGTATTATAGTTGAGGTGGTCAGTGCGAAAAGGGCACTCAAGCATAAAATATGTTTTGAGAATCTGAAAGTCAGTAGCTATTAATATTTGTACCAGCATCACTTTCAAAATAAATAGGTTTAAGTATATTTGTGAAAGCAGGTTCTTGCCAGGATATATATCTCGATCACTCAATCGTCAGAATATAGACACCATTTAAATATTGCATCAATTTATCCCTTAGAATGAATACTATCCATGCTTACGAGAGATTCTGTCCCTCAAAATATTGCTATTATCGATAACAAAAGCTTAGAAATTACACTTCGACATGACTTTTAACAATATCGCTATACCGAACTCAAAAACAGTACGATATTTGGGTATCTACGTGACTTACATGAACATAGAATAGAATAGAAAATAATTTTATTCTGGGACGAAGTCCCTTTAGAATAACAAAAAAGTACAAAATTAAAATGTTATATCTGGCCAAATAAAAACAAATATAAAAAGTAAAGATAAAGATAAATAAGTAAAGAAAATATTAGTTATACATACTATATACAAAATAAAATAAAAAATCTATATACAAAACTCTTGAAACCTTGCCAAGACACTTAAAATTATGTTCAATGGTAAAATATAAATATACACTTTTATAAAAAATACATTACATTCTTCTTAGCAGTAAGCTCTGTGTTTCTGTTGAAAAAAAAAGAAAGTCTAATCTGATAGATAGATAGATAGAAAGTAAAATTTATTCTGGGACAAGGTCCCTTATGAATAACAGATATGAACAAAAAAAATAAAACTACATCTGGCCAAAAATTACATTATTCAATATCAAAGAATATATACAGTACCTTCAATGAAGTTAAATTAAAACAAGTAAAAATAAAATAAAATTTTAAGAAAAAACGAAATAAAAAA